GGTTGTCGTTTTCGGTCAGGGGGGAGTCTCAGACTCTGAGCTCCAGATACGGGCGAATCGCTGGGGACTCGGACCCAAACGGGAGAAGCGGGAGTGTCTGGCATCAGTTGGAAGGCAGCTTTCCCTCCGAGGTTTGCAGCGGTTCCGGGGGTTCTGAGAAGCAGAGCCTCTGGGAACAGGACTGAGGGCACCATAACGGCTCCCTCCGCCCGCCCTGTTGAGCCCGCCCCGCCCAAGCCCTGCGCAGAGCCATTTGCCAGATCGCCTCAGGCAAAGGCTAGATTAGCACCTCCCCAGAGGACAGAAGTTTTCCGCGGCAGACACAGCTGATTCACACAGCCAGTCGGCCTGGTGGTCAAATCCCTCTAGTATTAACTACAACAATCAAGGCTCAACTAGAACAAGACTGCGCACAAAGACCACTAGGGGGTGCACCAAGAAAGCATAAAAAATGCGGAGACAAAAAAACATGACAGAAATGGAGGATATAGAGCTAAAAATCGCAATTTTGAGGGCTTGCAAAAATGTGCTAGAAGCTGTCAATAAACTTGAGGAGAGAGTCACGAAAACTAATGAGACCCTCGATGCTATGATAAAGAACCAACTAGAAATTAAGCATACACGGACTGAAATAAAGAATATTATACAGACACCCAATAGCAGACCAGAGGAGCGCAAGAATCAAGCCAAAGATTTGAAATGCGAAGAAGCAAAAAACACCCAACCGGAAAAGCAAAATGAAAAAAGAATCCGAAAATACGAAGATAGTGTAAGGAGCCTCTGGGACAGCTTCAAGCGTACAAACATCAGAATAATTGGGGTGCCAGAAGATGAGAGACAGCAAGATATTGAAAACCTATTTGAAGAAATAATGGCAGAAAACTTCCCCCACCTGGTGAAAGAAATGGACTTACAGGTCCAAGAAGCGCAGAGAACCCCAAACAAAAGGAATCCAAAGAGGACCACACCAAGACACATCATAATTAAAATGCCAAGAGCAAAAGACAAAGAGAGAATCTTAAAAGCAGCAAGAGAAAGAGACTCAATTACCTACAAGGGAATACCCATACGACTGTCAGCTGATTTCTCAACAGAAACTTTGCAGGCCAGAAGGGAATGGCAAGAAATATTCAAAGTGATGAATACCAAGAACCTACAACCAAGATTACTTTATCCAGCAAAGCTATCATTCAGAATTGAAGGTCAGATAAAGAGCTTCACAGATAAGGAAAAGCTAAAGGAGTTCATCACCACTAAACCAGTATTATACGAAATGCTGAAAGGTATCCTTTAAGAAGAGGAAGAAGAAAAAGGTAAAGATACAAATTGTGAACAACAAACATGCATCTATCAACAAGTGAATCTAAGAACCAAGTGAATAAATAATCTGATGTACAGAATGAACTGGTGATTATAATGAATCAGGGACATAGAAAGGGAATGGACTGACTATTCTTGGGGGGGAAAGGGGAATGGGAGATGCGGGAAGAAACTGGACAAAAATCGTGCACCTATGGATGAGGACAGTGGGTGGGGAGTGAGGGCGGAGGGTGGGGCGGGAACTGGGAGGAGGGGAGTGCATTTATCATTCTTCTAAATACGGTGGGTGGGGAGTGAGGGCGGGGGGGGGGGCGGGAACTGGGAGGAGGGGAGTTATGGGGGGGAAAAAAGAGAAACAAATGTAACCTGAACAATAAAGATTTAATTAAATAAAAAAAATAAAATAAAAAAAAATAAAAAAAAAAAATAAAAATAAAGAGAGAGGGGAGAAAATCAAGGTCAGAGCCCTGGGAAGACCAACATTTAAGGGGCAGGAAGAAGAATACAGAAGACCTATAAAGCCAAAGAAATAGAACCACCACCAGAGCAATTTCACAAAAATCAAGGAAGGAGACAGCATCAAGGGAGGCATAAGCAACAAAGATACAGACAGAAACTCACCCACTGATTTGTAACTGGGGAAGTGCTAGATAAGGGAAAGAGAGGACTAGGGAACAATGTCAAAGGAGTCCATCCAGTCAGTGGTTGAGCATCAACCTGTGAACCAGGAGGTCACGGTTAGACTCCCAGTCAGGGCACATGCCTGGGTTGCAGGCTCAATCCCCAATGGGGGGCCTGCAGGTGGCAGCCAATCAATGATTCTGTCATCATTGATGTTTCTATCTCTCTCCCCCTCTCCCTTCCTCTCTGAAATCTATATATATTAACAACACTGTCAAAGGAGAGGTACTTTAGAATAGAGAGACTTGAAGGTGGAAAGTGATGGGTTCCTCCGGGGCCTGTGTTGGACAAACTGCTATATCTTCAGTAACTGGCACACTCAGTTGGCTACAGAAGAGGAAGGGTAAAGAGCAGACTGAAATTCCACTCTGACCAGTTGGGACGCACATTAGACTGGCCATGATTAGAGCGGGAACAATATCAACCAAGGGGGAAATATACCATGCCTTGTTGGTAAACTCTAAAAACTCTGTGACCCAACAGTCATGTGGCCAGAGGCCACAAGCCTGAGCAGCACCCAACACTAAGGCTGGGACTGAAGCTGGCTCACTTCCAGGATCAGGCTGATTACATTCCAAGGATTCTACTTCAGCCTAGGGCCACGCACTTTCCTGGCGCAGAACTGAGGGCATCTGCCTTATAATGTCACAGGAGTCTGTGGCCTAGTTGTGTTATTAGATTACTTTTACATATGTAATGTTATATAAATATGTAATAATTTATTCATCCTTAAGATAGTTAATAATTTTCAAAATCAGAAACCTAAATAAAGATTAATGGAGGGAGAAAAAGCACAAGAGAATGGATTAGCTTTAGATAGGGCATGTTACTTATAAACCTTTCTATGTACCATATGAAGTGTTTCCCCACTATTTCCTGGAGGGCCTCCCTTTGTGACTATCATAAGTTTTATTATAATTTGTGGCCCTGGTTGTATCTTGAATATGACCAAAATTTTCTTCAACTGCACAGTTCTGGAAACCCAGTTGTCACAGTGGTGCTTGATGCTTGATTTGCTACTGAATGTCACCTAGCAGTGGTTTCTAACTTTTTTCATTAGTGCGGGCTGATAATAGTTTGGTTTCTTAAATAAACATAGCTAGATGCCAGCCTGTAGTTTTTTCTAGTTCAACACTAGAACTCAAGCTCCATAAGGGCAGGGTTCTTTGCTTGTCTACTGGTTGTACTGGGTTGGATAATGCCCCTTAAAAAGTAATGTTCTTCCAGAAACCTCAGAATATGGCCTTATTTGAAAAGAGGGTGTTGCAGATATAATTAGTTAAGATGAGGTCATGTAGATGAATAGAATGTGCCCTTAATCCAATGTGATTGGTGTCCTTATAAGAGAAGAAACATAGGGACAGAGGCACACAAAAAAAGCCATATGATGATGCAGACAGATATGAGAGTGATGCATTTACAAGCCAAGAAATGAGAAGTATGGCTAGCAAACACCAGAAGCTAGGAAGGGGCAAGGAAGGATCCTCCCCTAGAACCTTCTGAGAGAGCATGGCTCTGCTGACACCTTAATTTTAGACTTCTAGCCTCCAGAACTGTGAGACAATGCATTTCTGTGGTTTTAAGCTATCCAGTTTAGCACATTAATATACTAGGATATCCCGGGTTTCTAGGTTAGCACCTGGCACATGGTAGGAGATCAATAAATGAAATATTTGCTGAATTAAATGACGGACTTTTTAATTCCCTAAGATTGACCTCTCGGTGGCATCGGGCACCTGTTGATGACCACCCTCTCTCCCTACACACACTTGAAACTCTGTCCTCTCCTGTTTTCCACATCACCAGGTTCTTCTGGTTGTGTTCCAATGATGATGTCTGCTTTTTAAATGTCAGTGTTTCCCCGGATTGTACCTTCAGTCCTCTCTTCTTCTTGCTCCACAATCTTTCTATGTAATTTGATCCCTCCACAAGTTTCAATTCCCCATATATATCAAGGACTCCCATACTTAAAACAGATCTAATCATGTCACTTCTCTGCTTAAAAAAGGAGATGGTGCTCAGCTGGCATGGCTCAGTGATTGAGCGTTGACCTATGAACAAGAGGTCACGGTTTGATTCCCGGTCAGGGCACATGCCTGGGTTACAGGCTCGGTCCCCCATAGAGGGTGTGCAGGAGGCAACCAATCAATGATTATCTCTCATCATTGATGCTTCTATCTCTCTCTCCCTCTCTGTACCTCTCTGAAATCAATACAAATATATATTTTTTAAATAAAATAAATAAAAGATAAAAAAGAAGATGGTTATTGCCTGCAGATAAGGTCCAAACTTGTCTGCTTCAGCATTTTATTGTCCTCACCCCAGGAGGCATGAACCCCTTCCTGTAGAGTGACCTAGGCTCTAGACACAAAGGACTACTCAGATTTCCCAAGCACACATATTTGATGCTTTTTTTTTAATTTGATGCTTTTAATGCTTCCATATTCCCTCCATTTGGAATGTTCCTCATTTACCTCATCTACTTTGTAAAATCCTAGTTCAAGGCCAAACACAAATGCCACCATCTACTTCTGCCTTTCCTGACCACCATTCAGGCAGGATGAGCCACTCCTATGTGTTTTTCTGTAGCCCTTTGTTCACCATACCAATATTTTATCATATCACAATAGGTAGCCTGTTTCCTTGCTGAGCCATGAGCTCTTTAATGGTTAGGATGGTACTTGATTAATCCTCATAGACGCAGTCCCAAGATCAGTGCCTGCACATAGTATGCTCCAAGAGATTACAGGTTAAATGAACTAATTCTACTTGCAAAAAAATATATACAGCTCTCAAATGGCAAAAGAATCACATCGCAGCACCATTTCAACAAAACACAATAGAGCTGCTGCTGCATTAACAGAAATTAGAGATCTACCACAAACATCAATGTATTGGGCCCAAAAGAGCTGTTCAACGCTAGATGGGGTATTTATAGTCCTCAGACCTAGACTCCAACACAATACGGAAATCCTAGACAGAGAACATTGACCTCTTACCTGCGAAGATACATAGTTTCCTCGTCTTCTGTGTTACAAAACTTGTGGGCATGTTTGGCAGCATCAATCACCCGGGACCTATCCCGGGGCCTCATGGGCAATTTCTCCAGCTGACAGTCTGAAGTAATGAAGAAAGATTTGGTCACTAGAGTCACTGGAAAATACCCTGAGGCAATCAGAAGTTTTCAGTGTAATTTTTACTATAATTATTATGCTTATTGAAGCCTATTATTGAATTTTCAAACTAAAAATGACTTGGTATCAGGAGACCTGGATTTCAGTCCCTGTGCTGTTACCACCCTGGTGATCTTTGGCAGGTCACTTCTTCTTTTTGGGGTCTTTTACTTTATTTGAAGGATGAATAGATTGTATTATCTCAAAAGTCTTTCCCAGCACTACAATTCAAGTTTTCTGATATTTCTGTGATTCAAGCGTCATGGTACAGTTGGTTTGTGTTATAATGCATTAGAATCAGAAGAAATAATCAAGCATACTCCAATGCCTATGAGGAAAGCATTGGGAAAAGTGGGTAAGTGCTTAGAAAAGGATAGAGAGGATAGGTGGTATGCTATATATAGTATGCAAATGACCCAGCCCAGTTAGGGAAGTTTTAATACAAAAACACACAGTAAATAAATTATGTACAGTTATAAAGCAGATGGAAAATTGATATAATGCCAATTAAGTACCTAAAGGATCACAGAGAAGTCAAGTGATCAGAGTGAATTGAGATTAACAGAGGAGGTGGAGAGGGCAGTGAGAGATCACCAGGCAGTTTGCGCGATAGCTCATTGCTATTCACATTGACCTGTTAGAGTAGATATTTAGTATTCCTAGTTTAAAGATGAGGAACTTGAGCCTGGCCAGTGTTACTCAGTGGATGAGTGTTGACCTATGAACTAGGAGGTCATGATTCTATTCCCGGTCAGGGCACATGCCCGGGTTACAGGCTCGACCCCCAGTAGGGACCGTGCAGGAGGCAGCCCATCTCTCTCATCACTGATGTTTCCATCTCTCTCCCTCTCCCTTCCTCTCTGAAATCAATAAAAATGTATTTTTAAAAAATAAGAAGATGAGGGACTTGAGGTTTAGAAAGGATAAGAGATAAGCCACATATTTAATAAGAAGCAGAACAAGAATTCAGACCCAACTCTAGGTGATCAAGAGAGAATTCATTTATTCAATAAATATGTGAGGTTCCTCCATATACTCGGGCACAGTTCCAACACTGTGCTGGAGATTCAGTAAAAAGCAAAGCAGACAAAGTGCCTCGCCTGATTAATTTAGTCTAATCGGAGGCAGAAAACTTAAAAATAATAATTATATAATATGATCTTGGAGAATGATAAGTGCTAATAAAAAATTTAGACAGAGCCCTAACCAGTTTGGCTCAGTGGATAGAGCGTTGGCCTGTGGACTGAAGGGTTCCAGGTTCGATTCAGGTCAAGGGCATGTACCTTGGTTGCGGGCACATCCCCAGGAGGGGTTGTGCAAAAGGCAGCTGATCGATGTTTCTCTCTCATCGATGTTTCAAACTCTCTATCCCTCTACCTTCCTCTCTGTAAAAAAGTCAATAAAATATATTTTTAAAAAATTTAGACAGAGTAATAACAGGAGGAACAGTGATCTCAGAAAGTGTTAAGTGCTACCAAGAAAAATCAAGCAGGATCCCTTGCCCTCTCTCCCTCCCTCTCTCCCACTCTCTCCCTCTCCCCCTCCCTCTCTTCCCTTCTCTCCCTCTTCTCCTCCCTCCCTCCACCTCTCACCACCGCCTCTCTTTCCCTTCCCCTCTATCCCCAGAAAAAAGAAAAGAAAAAAAAAAAGAAAAATCAGGCAGGGTAAGAGGACAAAGAGTGACAGGGGTGCTATTTTACATAAGGTAGCCAGAGAAAAGTTTTCTAAGAAAGTGACATTTTAGCAGAGACCTGAATAAAGTAAGGAAGCACTGAGGGAGAGGGGTGGAGACAGGCTAAATACTAATCCCAAAGGCCCTGCCTGGGGGCAGGAACATTTTGACATGACGCAGAAACATCACTGTGGCTGGAGTGCAGTGAGCAAGGGGAAGAATGTTGTGAGATGAAATCTGAGAGGTAGCTGTGGGTCTGATCGTGCATGGTCTTTGAATGTACTTTGGTTTTATTCTCGGTGCTATAGGGAAACACAGGTTTGAAACAGGACTCTGGCTGCTGTGTAGAAAATACACCACTGGGGACAAAGTAGAGAGCAAGAGACTAATGTAGCAATCCAGGTGAGGGATGATGGTGGCTTGGACTTCAGTGGTAGAAATGGAGGTGATAAGTAGTAGTCAGATTCTAGATAGCTTTTCAAGGAAGCACCTGCCGAATTTGTTGATGAACTGGATGGGTGTAAGGTATAAGAAAGGGAGAATTTGTCTCTCTGCTCCTCCTATTCATCAGACGGCCATGTCTTCCTGCACAGTGCCAGCCACAACCCTGAGACATGATGGTGGAGGTCAGAATGAACAGATTTGGCCATACTGGATACCTGGTCAGAAGCACTGTTTTTAACTCTGGCAAAGTGGATATTGTCCCCATCAATGACACCTTCATTGACCTCAACTACATGGTCTACATGCTCCTAATTCTATTCATGGCAAGTTCAAAGGCACAGTCAAGGCTGAGAATGGGAAGCTTGTCATCAATGGGAAGTCCCTCTCCATCTTCTAGGGGCAAGATCCTGCCAACATCGAAAGGGGTAATGCTAGGATCAGTGCCCTCTGCTCTTTCTTCCACACACTGCAGGGACACCCTTCCAGGCGCTCCGCTCAGAAATAAGAAGGTACCTTGCATCCTAATGGGCAACAGACACAGGCCTGCAGGTATGGAGACTGCCCCTGAGCCGGCTCCTTCTGCCTCACCTGATTTGAAGCTGGCTCAGGGGCAGTCTCCATACCCGACCCCTAATGTGTCAGTTGTGGATCTGAGCTGCCATCTGGAGAAAGCTGCCAAATATGATAATATCAAAAAGGTATCATCAGAGAGCATTATGCTAAGTGAAATAAGTCAGTCAGAGAAAGATAAATATCACATGCTCTCACTCATTTGTGGATTATAATGAACAACATAAACCGATGAACAAAAACAGATGTAGAGACAGAGAAGCATCGATCAGATGCTCAAAACTCAGAGGGAAGGCAGGGGAGGGTGGGGGTG